AGCTGAACAGACATTTTCAAAAGAAGACATACAAATGGCCAACAGGCATATGAAAAAATGCTCACTAAAAAATGATCACTAATCATCAGGGAAATGCAAATTAAAACCACATTGATATACCACCTCACTCTAGTTAGACTGGCTACAATCAAAAAGATGGAGAATAACAAACACTGGCAAGGATGTGGAGAGACGGGAATGCTCCTACACTGTTGGTGGGACTGTAAATTAGTACAACCACTACTGAAAGCAGTATAGAGGTTTCTCAAACAACTACAGGTCGATCTTCCATACGATCCAGCAGTCTCACTTCTGGGTATATACCCAAAGGAATGGAAATCATCATGTCAAAGGGAAACCTGCACTCCCATGTTCATTGGAGCTCTGTTCACAATAGCCAGGATATGGAACCAACCTAAATGCCCATTGACAGATGAGTGGATAAGGAAAATGTGGTATATATTCACCATGGAATACTACTCTGCCATAAAAAGGAGTGAAATTCTCCCATTTGCAACAACATGGATGACCTTCAAGCAACTTATGTTGAGTGAAATAAGCAAAGCATAGAGGGACTAAAAACCTCACATACTCACTCAAAGTGAGAGATAAGAGAGAAAGAAGGAAGTAAAGAAAGACCACAGTGGTGTGTTGGACTTACAGAGGGAGGGAACATACCTACGCATACAAAGTGGAGTCAGGGAAAGGGGTTGGGGAGGGAGATTGGGGATAATCGGGTGGGGGACATGTGGTATAATCACAGTTTGTAGTAATGGGCATGCTGCCAGTATGGATCTGGCCATCACTTTTTGGGCACAACTGGTGACAATCAGTTTTGTACTCCATGAATATTCATAACCAATAAAAAATATAACCTTGAATGATAAAAAACATAAGTAAACAAATGAAAATAAAATGGGGGAAAGAGGAATATTTGGGCTACCCAATCTATAGGCTTAGAAATATAAATTGAAAACTTGGACGATTTTCTTTCTTTCTTTTTTTTTTTTTTTTTTTTTTTTTTTTTTTGGCTTTTTGTGACCAGTAAGGGGATTGTAACCCTTGGTGTGGAGTTGTCCAAAACCGCGCTCAGCCAGTGAGCGCACCGGCCATTCCTATATAGGATCTGAACCCACAGCGGGAGCGTTGGTGTGCTCCCAGCGCCACACTCTCCCGAGTGCACCACGGGCTCGGCCTGGACGATTTCTTTTAGAAAATGAAAGATGTCTCAGAATGCAGAACCACATTCCAGAGGGTAAAGCCAAGAAACACTGAAAAACTGAAAACTATCCTCATGGAGCAGGATAGAGCCCTAATTCAAAAGCTGGCAACATATGCCTTCCTATATTTCAGCATGCTATAGACCAGTAATTGCCATCTTCCATCTTTCTTCCTATTTTGAAATGGAAGTGTTTTCACATTTATCCCATCACTGTGTTAACATTGTATATTGGCACTGTTGGAGGCAGATCACTTATCTCTTTACTTAACAGATGTTTAGAGAAAAAGAAAGCATACTGGTGGAACTATACCCAAGGGACCACACCCATGAAACCTCACCTACATTTGGATAGGATTTAGATGATGGAATTCTTGAGAAATGCTACCATGAGCTGAGACCTAGAAGTTTGGGAGAGGTGTAAATGTATGTTGCATATGAAAGTAATATGAACAGGTGTAGCCAGAGAGAGGACCATGGCAGATTGGATGTTTCAAAGATGGCCATAACAGTATCTTACAAACTACATGCCCTTGTACAACCATCGCGACTAAATCTTTTTCCAAAACCCTGAAATTTGAGCAGATCCTCTAACTGCCTTGAGCAATAGAATACTGTGGAAGTGATGCTGTGTAAGTTTTGGGTATAGAACATATCTGGCCTAGTAGCTTCTAATTTTCCCTCTTGAAACTCTGAAACACCCTATAAGAAAACCAGGTTAATTTAATGGAGAGACAGCCCAGGGGAAGAAGCAGGAAGCATCAGGATTGTCAGCAAGGACGTGATACTGGATGTCTATCCTTCAGAGCCCCAGAGGATTCCAGCCTCAGTCCCTTTTTGTTATGCAATCATGTGAAGGACCTCAAGTGAGAACATTAAGCTGAGCCCAGTCAACTCCAACCTCTACATTCCAGGGTTGCTTGTAATTCAGCAATCATAATCATAATAATTGAGAAGTGGAATTATTCTTTAGAGAACACATTGGTACACTGAAGGTGAAAGAACATACCCTAAATAATATTCAAAAACGGAGGTGAAGAGGTTTCACATAAAAGGATCCTTAACGGAGAAAAACAACATGTGAGAAAACAAAGTGCTTCCTTCCTCTCTCTGTCTCTCCCCTCTCTTTCTTCCTTCCTATTTCAGTCCCTCCATTTCCTTCTTCCTTTTCTTCCTCCTATTCTTTTATTTTAATATATAAAGTAAATGCACAAGTCTATGCATTGTTTTATGATCTTGTTGTTTAATCAGAGAAGCTATTTGAAATAGGACTTACCTGTTCAATAAATATGTATTGAACTTACATTCCACAGAAATTCTAGATTCTGTGAAAACAATAGGCAAAACACTCATTCTGGTGTAGACAATGATTATGCAAAGACACTATTATCATATTGTGTGATATGTGTCATGATTGTGAAAGGAATGGATGACTCTGGAGACCATTAAAAAGGAAACTGATACAGAATGGAGGAAAAGAAGAGGTCAAGGAAGGCTGACAGGGGGAGTATTGCACGAGTCCTAGAAATTGCATAAGAGTGTTTGGTAGCAGCATTTTGAGATGGGTTGTTAATTTACTTAAGAAAATTTAGGTCTCTGAAAACTGGTACAGGCCAATTGCAGGGAAGTTAATAGTGGTTTTGCATAATTATTGATGTAATTTAATACGTACATTTAATATATGTATATATGCACATTCCTGTGAATGCATGCATATCTCAGGTGAAGTGAATGAATGTGTATAAATATAAATATGATAGCATGAGGGAGAGACCAAGAGAGACAGACAGAGAAATAGAGAGACCGAGCATAGAAGCTGTTTAAAAATAAATAAAATGATAGAAGTAGGTATATGAAAGGAAAAGTGTGTATACTTGTATATTTTTTTGCAGATAAATAACATCTGTGTGTATGCTTTTCCAAGGTATACTTTGAACATTAGAGATGAGAGAATGGGAGATTTACATATCTAGGTCCTTCACTTTAGAAGTTGGTGTTTAGTAACTTTTCTTTATTTTAACTGTGACATGGGTTTAAAGCCTGTGCAAAATCCAACTTTTGCTTTTGGGTATAGCCCCTGCCCTTAAAAAAATGTCAGTATAAGAGCAATAACAAGGCTTGTATGTAAATAACTGAGGCATAGGACAGATCATAGACAAACAAATCTTGAAAACACCTGAAGTAGAGAAAAGGGCTGATCGATATTGTTTGAAGACAAGCATTAGGGGCAATAAATTGAAGGAAATGTCTCTTGAGCTGAGAAAGATTTTGACTAAAAAGATAGAGGGAAAATGCCTCAATCTTTTTTAGTCAAAAAAGAATTAATATGAAGAAGAATGAACTAAAGTAGAGGAATGTGTGGTTTCTTTACAAAAGAAGCAGTCAGTTTTGGCTGGATTGATGCCTATAGTGATTTACTGAGAATAAAGCACCTGGCAAAGAAGACTGGTGTTAAGTCACACAATAACTTGAATGTCATGCTATTAAGTTAAGACTTTACCTTGAGTAACAGGCTGTTGAAAATTTTTAGTGGATGAAATGAGATATTTGTTTGAGAATGACAACTTCAGTTGCAGTGTTAAGAACAACTTGGAATAGGAGAGAGATCAGAGATAGGGAAGTTAGTTAGAAGGATTTTACAATACAGAGATCCATAGATGTGAAAGAAGTCCAAGATAGAAAAAAGGTAGTGGAAATGTGCACAGAAATCCTGGTGATCAGTTATGTGGAGAGATGAAAATAAAAATAATTAAGTAATTGCAAGGTTTTAAATTAATTTTTTTTAACTAAAGTCAAATGAACAAAAATGGGAAATATGGAGGGACAATATAGCTGGCAAAGAAATTGAGAGTTTAGTTTGTGTACAATCTAGTACTGTATAGTGACAATGTTGCCAAGCAGATCTCTTAGGAGAGGAGATCTCATATTAAGTGGTCTTTCCACAATAAAATAAAATATGAAAAAAAAGAATTTGGCAAGTGTTAAGTTTAAGATGCATATGAAAAGTGGTTCACAATGCTGTTAGAATGTGCTTTCAAGAGCACAGACATAATTCATGATTTAAGATTTAAAATTGGGTATCTTAAAGGTATTAAGATACACGAAGTCAGCTAGGTAAAAAGGAAAAGTGAAGCTAGAGAAAAAACAGATTCATTAGAACTTCTTAAAATTTTATTTGTAAAATGCCTATATCTCAGATCCAATCTATTATATTTTACTAAAAATTAGTTTTTTCTTTTAATACCATTTAGACAGAGAAAGGGAGCTCATTACTCATTTATATCTACATGAATATTTACGCATATTTATTTTCATTAGAAATCTCTTCCATAATATATTATTTTGTGGTGGTGAAATGGATAAAACATAAACGTAAAAGAGAAAAAATTAAATCAGGAAAACCTTTGGATAATTATTTATGCACATACATCTTGAGAATATAGGCCTAAATTGCATTTTTACCTCACTTGAAAAATGTCTTTCCAAATTATCTGTTGTGGTGTAATTAGATAAATAATGAATTTAACAATAAAATGTTATCCTACTTTATTGCTGGCATAAGCATTTCGGAGCGTTCTGGTTATGAGCGTTTCATAACAGCTGCATCTTGACAGGAAGAACATAACCCAGTTACATTCCCACACTGGCTAAGTCCTTCTCTTGACTTTGTTATTCCTTTCCCCATGAAGCCCCAAACCTGGCAGGAGTGAACTCCACCTCCCACTAAACATGACTTTCAGCTCCACTTTTCCAGGTCTCCTGTCCACCAAAGGTATAAACCTCAGTCTCCGTGACAGTGGAGGATCCGCAGCACCCACTCCCGCATTTGCTTGGTCCGGGCACCATAAATCAAGGGGTTGACCATGGGAGGCACCAGGAAATAGAGATTGTCAATGATAATCTGTAGATGAGGAGCAATATGGTAGCCTAAAATTTGTGCCAGGACAGAGAAGACAACAGGAGAATAGAAGAGACCAATGACACAAAGATGAGAGCTGCATGTGCTGAGAGCTTTTCCCCGTGCTTCCCAAGATGGTATCCGAAAGACAGCACGAAGGATAAGTCCGTATGACAGACTGATAAAAAACAGATCAAATCCCACAGATGCTATGATAACCATGATGCCATAGGTAATGTGTTCAGAGATGTCTCCACAGCCTATCAGCACCACAGCCATGTATGCACAGTAGGAGTAAGGAATGATTTGGGTTTGGAATCTGTCCAGTCTTTTTGCCAGGATGGGTGCTGGCGTCAGCACTGCCACTGTCCTTGCCAGAAGAGCCAGTGCTATCTTTATAAGCATGCTGTTAGNAAACACATATCAACTCCATAGTTTAGATTCTCCTGTGGCTCTGATCCTATTTAATATTCAAATTTGCAATCCTGTAGGATTTTTTTCTAGAGACCAGAACATGGCAGGACAGTGTTTGAACATTACAGGCAGAAAGTTGGGGTATGAATAAGCCAGAAAGTATGGTTTTCACTCAAGACAAGGAAACTGAATTTAATCATACCAGAGTCCCAAGTTTCTGGGATTAAACTTGGTGCTTTGGAATTCTTTCCTGTAATACTTAGCTGCAAATTGCTCATTTTGACAAAGGACATAGGAAATCTGCTAATCCTATTCCTGGAAAGCATGATTGTACTCTGGAGGAATAAAAGATGTTTTGGATAACAAAAGTGGAGTCCAAAAATCCCTCCATAGATAAAAATTTAGTATCAAATTTCCATATAATCCAATAGAGCCTGGTTGGAGAGTGGGTAAAGGTAAAGGTAAATTAATGATTTTCTGTCTATATACGTGTTTGTGTGTTTTTATATGAAAAGCAGGGTTCGGGGGTTAATGGTAACGCATGTTTCTATAGAAAAATGGCTTTATTATATTTATTAAATACTTTAAGCCACAAATCTCTTTTGGATAGAAGTACATGTTTACAAATTTACAAATTATTTGATTAAAGCCATAGAATAAAGAGTACACTTAATCATTATATTGAAAGAAGAAACCAAACAAATGTATAATAAATACAGAAATAGAGCTATGGAAATAAGACCTTTTTTTAACTAGATGATTGTAATTAAATTTCACTATTTAGGTTTATACTTCAGATTTTGTTAGAAATATTCAACTATACAATAATTTTAAAAGAAAATCACAGAAAAAGAGAAATTTCAATAAAAGGTTAAGATAAAGAATGGAAAAGTATACCATGAAGTTTTTTTAAAACACAAGCATAGTGATATTGTGTCATATTATTTTGCTTTAATTGTTGATGAATTTGAATTACTAGTCTTTTTACTAATATATATAGCAATTTCACCTCATCTTTTAATTACGTTTACAATTTATTTTTAATACCAATGCATTGCTTTTAAGTTTCTTCTAAATAATTATATATTTTTATCTCAGCCATAATATGAGCCTTTAAAACAAAAATAAAAACAAAATTAGACTTAGGTTATATAAAATTTGAATGGATTTTTTGTTAATTAATCTATTCTAAATATGTAAAAGCCCCCAAATAGGGTGGCATATCTGCTGTAACAGTACTTTACCACTTATACATCATAAATTGAGTTATTCAGATATAAGTATTTTATATGTCAATTGCATTTGGAAAAAGGCACACCACAGCTGAAAGATAGGCAGGTCTTTTGGAAAGTAATTTTATAATGAAAATAGCAAAATCTTTGGGATAACCCATGTCTCAGATATAATCTCAGTCTTGCTACTTACTCTATGTGATTTGATCAAGTAGTTAAGGCCTTGAGACTCTTATCTTATCTCAAAAAAATGAAATGAGGTATACCTTGCAAATCTTGTAATGAGGATCAAATCCACCATTAAATTCCAATGTTATATAACACATACATGTTCCTGGCATAATTCTTTGTATGTTTCGGTGCTCTAATGAAGATTTTTTTTTTTTTTTGGCCTTTCTATGAAGTACAAGGTTTAAATAAGTCATGAAAGAAATAATGTTTGTTTTGATGTGTTTGTTTCTTGGAAAGAGCTGTGACTAAGATTATGAATAGTCTTGAATTGATACCATAAGAAATATTTGATGATTCTGGTAATTTTGCCCTTAAACATTTTTAGATTCATTATGTTCTAACAGGAAAAAAAATATTTAATGTCACTAAAAGTACATACTTGCCAACCAAAAGATGCTAAAAAATTAAAAATGCACATTTTGGTTCAATAGGGAAAAGAGTCCCATCACAAGGAACTGCTTCCAAACAGACAAAGCAGCCCTGTGAAACTAGAAGCTCACCATCAGTAGTGTTGCCAGGTAGAAACTGAATGATCACCTATCAGGAAAACTGTAAATAAAAATTCTCCATGTAGTGGTGGCATTAGGATATTATTAAACCTTTAAGCAGCATGAGAGGGTTTTGCCCGAGCTACCAGAAACAATGGCCAACAACAACTATACCATCTTTAAGTACACTTAAAAACACCATAAATTCAGAAATAAAAAAAATTGAAAGTTATTTGTTATTTTCTAAAAAATGTCATTAATAATTCTAAAACATTGTAGAACCCAACTTAGTGATTGTGGTATTTGGTTCAAAAGATTTGAGTATCTTTTTTTGTACATGACTTTTTGCATCCAGGATTTTCTGGTCTTTTCCCCCTCCTACTTTTTTTCCTTTCTCCTGGAGTATTACCTGCAAATGTTTGAGTGTCACAATGGACCTGGGACTAGCAAATTCCACTTGAGGTTTGAGGAAGATGTTTTGATCTCCAGAAAAAGATGGAGTGTGTGACCCTGAGTTAGATTTATGCTGTTTTATATTGGCTCTCTTGGGTCCCCAGTAGCCTCTCTGCTAGACAAAGTGTTTTTCTTAGCTTGGATACTCTGGGGAACAAATCCTAGCACATGTGGATAAGAACAGATGTTTAGAAGCACTATAAAATTAACTATTGGTGTGTTGTTGGAGGTGGGATGGTATGGTTTAAGAACTCTAAAGAGAAGAGTAGGGACTGAGGGATCATTTAGGATGAAAATTTTAAAAAGTCTGGAGCAGCAAAAGGATTATCCTAAAGGCAGAGTTGCTTGCAGTTACAATTACATAAAAATTGTTATAGCTTGCTTCATAATCAATAGTATAAGTCATTTTCATTCCTTATTACCTTGGGGCTTTTATAAGTAAAAATTAAACTGAAATTAAGAGTTTAGTTTCTTAGCTGGAAAAAAAATATCCACTAAGCAAAATCTTAACTGACTAAATTAAGACTATTGTTTGGTAAATA